GAGGGTGGCCCATACCCAGGTGTCCCCATCCCTCCTCGCCCCCCTCGCTGCCCAGGATCCCCAGCCAGACCCCCCACTGCCCCTTCCCCTCTCAGAGCAAAGTCCTTACACTTTGCCTAAGGGATGAAGCAGCATTTCCTAAAGCAAAGTAGCTCTGTTTGTCAGCCATGAAGCAGGTCCCTGGCAGCAGCCCCTGCCTCAGTTCTCAGAGGGTGGCCAACAGCCCCCAAAAGACTCACCGCCTTCTGGTGGGGGCTCCTGTGCTGGCCCTCTGTGCCCCCGGCGCTGGTATTCCCGTCCATCCCTGGGTGGGAAGTGCAGAGAAACGTGAGTGTTAGCACCGCAGGAGCCCAGTAGCACCAGCTCCATCGTGGGTGCCATGTCACCCCAGTCCTCAGGGACCTGTGGGCACAGCCCCCTCCCCAGCACAGCTCCCCAGCCCCCAGCACCCCCCAAAAAGGCTGAGGGAGCACGGCTGCGCAAAGACCTTTGCCTGTCTGCGGGGAACCACACTGTTTTCCCTCCCTACCCTGCAGGACTTCAGCGTTTGGGAGTGGATCAAAAAATAACTTGCTTTCCTAACAGGGGTGAGCTCAAGGCAACAGGATCCTGTCCCGAGCCCCCTGGCACCTGGTGCCCTTTGCAGCACCCTCACAGCGTTCTGCCCCGCGCCCGAGTCCCCACCAAGGCCAGCCAGCGCCCTACATGGGGAAGCTGGTCTCTCCGCCCCGGGGAGACCGCATAACTGTTAATAAATATTAGCAAATCACTAGGGCTTTCAATGGCCACATGTGTCCGTCAATATGCTCTTGTCAGTCACGGCAGGGCCATGTCTAATGCTTGCAAAATCTCTTTTGCAGCGAGGGGGTAGTGTGAGGGGTAGGTCTATATTTATCCGTTTGAATTGAGACAGCAGCTAGGAGTGTGCAGCATCGGCTGGCCCCACCCGGCTAAGAGCCAGCCACAGCCACCAAGACAAACCCCAGAGGGACACCTTGCAGTGGCACCCTGCGAACCCAGGCTGGGGAGTATCAGATTTTCCACCACCAGTGAATTACGGGCACGAGATGGTGCATGAGGGGCACGGGAGCTGCGTGCTGGAGTTCCACCGGTGTGAGGGGCTGGCGCGGTGGGAGCGCTGGGGGCAGCTGGGGGACAGGGCACTGGTGTCGGGCCAGCCTTGCCACAGCCCTGCCCGCTGCTGCACATGCAGCAGTGCCTGGAACGGCTCCCGCGGGG